TTTGATAACCCAATGCCAAATTAAATTCTGTATTTATTATTATTTATTTAATAATATATTATCACATATACTCACAATCATATATAACTATAAATATTTATGTGATATTTAATTAAACGTTCAGAGTGTCACAATTTGATTGATTATACTTTCCCTTTTTCTTTTTTAGGTACCAATATAAAATAATTGCATAGTCATTCATGAATCTTAATGTAATGAATAATTTCAAGGGTTAATTGTTGAAAAATCCAAGGTAAGGAGGGTATAAAGCATTAGATTAAGTGAATATTTTTTATTGGTGAAAAGTCTACCTTTTGTAAAATAGTTTAGTGAGAATTCTTTTGGAGGATATTTTGTTTTTAATTTTATCCCTTAATTTATCTATTGACTTTCATTGACTATCTGTTCAAATTTTTTTCTTATCTGTTTAGAATTTTTCCTATATGTTCAATTTTTTTCTCCTTATCTGTTCAAATATTTGTGTAAATTTTATTATCTTTTCATTTTTTTTTAATTTTTTGAAATACCAAACCAAACCAAAATTTATTATTTGTTTAAACTGTGATATGCATACATAGAGAGAGACTAATCTGCTTAAATTTTTTTCATCTGTTCAAATCAAATTCTTATAGAGAGAGAAGAGAGAGTGATATGTTGAAATATACCAAGCCACTATCCGTTCAAATCTTTCTTTCTCTCATTCTTTCTCAGTATCTGTTAAAATTTTCATAACAATAACATTCAACATTCATCCTATACTATTTGATTTAAACAAATCAAGTTCACAACAATAACATTCATTCATTCTATGTTATTTGATTTAGACAGATCAAGTCCATAGATCATCATATCTGCACAAATTAGACAGGCTGTGATGGTTAATGGAGTTCTGTAATGTAGTGAGCGAGAGAGAAACAATCAAACAACCCTAACAAATCTCACAAATCAGATCAATAATTATCAAACATATACTGTATTTATTAAAAGTTACAAGAAAATAGGCTATGATGATGATCTGGTCAATGGAAATAGGCTCAGATATGGACATAAGCTTTGATGATTAGATTTGTAAATTAGGGTTTGATCAAATAAAATTCCATCATGCCCTAGTTCCAAACCCTAATTCCATCAAATTCTTCAATTTTCTTGAATTTAAACACAAACACATATATACACACACAGAGAGAGAGAGAGAGAGAGAGAGAGGAACAATGTTGATCTAAGAAAACCCTAACCCTAGAGAAGAGGAATCAATGTTGATCTGTTGAAATTCAATTTAATCTATTTATAAATAAAATTTAGATCTGTGAATCTGAGCAACGTCGGGTGGATTTAACCCTAGAAAGATAGAGAGAAATTAGTAGTGAGGGAGTCTGATGCGTATGCATGTAGAGAGAGAGAGAGAGAGAATGAGACATTTTCTAGTAAAAAAATAGTGTACTTTCTACCAGAACAGGGAGGAATGAGATGCTCATCAATCACAGTCATAATATCACCACAAATCTCAATGAGCTCCGACTCCACTATATGCCTGTATTCTTTGATCCATTTGGCATTCACTTCGTTTCTATTAGACTCTTCCTTCTGCTCAATCGAAGACAAGATCCTCCACGATGCCCTCCAAGAACCCACCACTTTCTTATACCCCACAGAAAGCAAGTTCCTCTTCTCAACAGTCAGTTCTACATCCAAATTCGCAACCTTCTTCATCGAATGCACCAACTTTGCACGAAATCACACAATCCACAAATCGGTCAAACGCTAACCCTAATCGCTACATCGAGTGATCAAAATCAAGTTCAAATTTCAGATCTAGAATACTAACCGTCATAGCATTCGGTGAGCTTGGCGATGGTAGATCTGTTCTTGTTTTAGATCTCGTCGACCTTTGGGCAGAAGAGAGTGAGCTGAGAGGGGAAAGTCGCCAGATCTGAGAAGAAAATCGATGAGCTTACCGGCCAATGAAGGACTTGGTGGAGAGGGAAGATTGGATGAGGTAAAGAGGTGTCTAGATTGTGCGGGCGGGGGCGGCGGAGGTGCGACGAAGACGATGGAGGTGCGATGGTGGGATGCATTGGTTGTGGTTGAGCTTGGGGGTTGAATTTAGAGAGAGAGAGAGAGAGAGAGAGAGAGAAGAATTATTTGGATACTTGTGATTATTGAACTAGTAAAAAAATTATTTTCAACAGATAAAGCGTGGCTCAAGCAAAAAAGCCCCGTGAATTTTGGGTAAAAGAGATACGGGCATTTTGGTCATCTTACCTTAGCATGTCCCTATGGACAATATATTTTAGCATGTGGCTTTTGAACTAGTAAAATTCAAATTTAGACTTCACAATTGAGCGACCTGATTTCAAAAGACATTGTGTATGTGATTTATGAGGAATAATTTTCTGGTATATATAAAACAATACAAAATGATTTTCTGAAATAGCCAAAAAGAGAAAGTGATTAAATCTTTATTTTTAGTAAACAAAATGCTTTTAGGAATCAAACAAATCAAATAAAATTAATGTGCTAATTAATGCACACAATTTTTAAAATGAGACTTATGTATAGGTTTTATAAATAGATTTATTGTCCAATAGATCTTGTGAGAATTAATGACATTTTTTCATTAAACATTATTAAAAAATGTTATTATTATTAATTTTCAACCACAGTTTGAAAATTGTCACAAAAAATGTTACTAAGTATAAGTTTTAGTGACTGTTTAAAAAAATCGCCACAAAAAAGTTATTAGTTTTCAATTTGCAGTGACAATTTAAAATTTTCGTCATAGAAAACGTCACTAATTGTAAGTTTTAAAAAGTGTGACAAAAATAAGTAATTAATTATCAATTTTTAACGACATGTAAAAATTGTCACAAAAAATTATTTTTAGCGACGATTTTTACTAAGATTTATTTTCAATAGGATTTGATGATAATTAAATTCAACTACTAAGATCTCTCTGTAGTTTATCCTTTTTTAAATTAAGTAGAAAATCTTTTTTGGCCGCTTGAAAAATTATTATTTTTCCCGCAAAAGTATAATTCTCTGTAACCAAGAAGCCCTAGCATACCGTAAAGGTTTTTCTACAAAATCAAATAAAAGCTTGCTAAAACAATTTTCAAAAAAAAAAAGAAAAAAAAAAGTTTGGTCATTTCACTACAACATATAAAAGTTTCAAACACCAAGTTTTTTTTGTCTCTAACAGTATAAATTTTGTTATAAAAAATATTTAGAGACTAATTTTAGTTGTTATGAGAACAATACCTAAACGGTAGTACCGAAAAGTCAAAAAGGAGCTTTTAGAGACAAAATTTTGAAAATGTCACTAATAAATGTTTTTTAGAGACAAAATGACTTGGTCCCAAAAAGGTTTATTTTTTAATACAAAACTTTGGGTCCCAAAAGGTTAGTAATTCATCACTAAATGTCTAATTTGATTAAAAATAAAATAATAACACTTTTGTCGACAAAAATATTTTGTCTCTAAATTTTTGTCTTTAAAACTTTAATTTCTTGTAGTGTTTTGTGGTGGTCAAATGGACACAACGAGAAATTATTTTGTTTTCTAAAAATTTTATGTTGATTATGTGCCTAACAAATAGTAAGAAATTTAATGAATACATAATCTTAAAAATAAATAAAAGAAATAGTGAACAAATTATAAAATATATCATAAAACAAGCACATGAACGCATGATATTCCGAACTTACTAGATTATTTTAGGCACACAATGGCCACATCTCTTCTTCAATAGAGCATCTTATAATTTTTTTTTTTCCAATAGTTCATCTTATAATTTTTTTCCTTTGTGTATTAATACACACTAATTTCATCATGCAACAACTGAGCACATTGTATTGTGACTAAATTTTGTTTGTTTATTTTTTATTTGTTATTAGTAATGTTACATATCAAGAATTCAATTACCAAAAATATCAAGAAAAACTATATATGCCGATAATCGCCATGTTGTTTGTCTCATCAAGCTAGCCACAAATTTGGTTGTCTTGGCTATCAGACTAAGTCTTGCATACTGACTGCCTTCAACCCCTAAGTATGCTGTAGCCCACATTTAGGTCATGTTAATGCCTTGCATCTGTGCAAATGCTGCCCATACTTTGGCCAAGGGTTCTGTGCTGCTGCCTCAACACTTTGTCAACTTTTCATCTTGTTGTCTTGGCATGCCACCATCATGTCGTGGTCTTGGTTGGACATTGGCGCAAGGTGTTGCCAATGCCAACCATGCAGCCTTCACGTAGAAGGTGCTAACAAACCACCCCCACCAAAAGAAGCTGATGTCCTCATTGGTAAGGCCTCTAAGTAGTTTGTAATCTGTTTCTCAAACTGTCGTAGAGTTACATCATTTTCCCAACTCGCATCCGCTTCCACTTGACTAAGTAATGAGTTCTTCGATTTTTCTTACTTTGCCCCCTTTGTCTTACGATCCAGAATTCGTTCCACTTCTTTGTCAAACTGTTTTCTAATCACTCGAGGAGCACGATGAGTTTGAGTTTGTGCTAGATTAACTTGATCCTCATGATAAGGTTTCAGGAAACTAACATGGATTGTTGGGTGTATCTTTAACTGGTCAGGTAACTTCAGCCTGTAAACAACATTTCCCACACGTTTCAGAATTTCAAAAGGTCCATCATACTTTGGAATAAGGCCTCGATGCACACTGTCTTGCTACTTATCTTTTTTCCAAATTTGTGGCGCAAGTTTCAGCAGCACATTGTACCCCACTTTGAATTCTAATGGTCTCCACCCTTTGTCAGCATACTTTTTCATCCACTTGCTTGCCTTAGCCAAATTGTCGTCTGCTTCATCTAGTATTTCTTGTTTAGCTCTTGCAAACCAGTATGCTTCTGGACATCTACCCCCTGAGCCAGTTCGTGTCACTTCATGCGGAGTGAGGGGTTGTTACCCTGTGGCTAGTTTAAACGGACTCATGCCTATAGCAGATGACCGATGCAAATTATAACAAAACTGTGCACTATCGAATAGATCAACCCAGTTGCTCTGACTTGCAGTCACATAATGTCGGAGGTATTCTTCCAGCAAAGCATTCATTCTCTTTATCTGTCCATCCGTCTGAGGATGATTTGTTGTAGAAAACTTTAATTCCGATCCTATCAAGTTAAATAGCACAGTCCAAAATCGCCCTGTGAATCTGGTATCCTTGTTACTAACAATATCCTCGGGCAAACCAAAGTATTTCACCACATAAGATGCTCATCAATCACAGTCATAATATCACCACAAATCTCAATGAGCTCCGACTCCACTATATGCCTGTATTCTTTGATCCATTTGGCATTCACTTCGTTTCTATTAGACTCTTCCTTCTGCTCAATCGAAGACAAGATCCTCCACGACGCCCTCCAAGAACCCACCACTTTCTTATACCCCACAGAAAGCAAGTTCCTCTTCTCAACAGTCAGTTCTACATCCATATTCGCAACCTTCTTCATCGAATGCACCAACTTTGCACGAAATCACACAATCCACAACAATCAACAACAACCATAACCGAGCGCATACCGTTCACCTTTGGCAACCCAGATATGAAGTCCATGGAAACAAACACCCATGGCTTCGTTGGAATAAGCAACGGTTGTAGCAGTCCAGCCGCCTTTTTTCTCTCTATCTTGTCTAGTTGGCACACTAAGCAAGTTTTGACTTAGCCTTTTACATTTTTGGCCAACAATAGGAACGAGATAGTAAAAGCCATCATACGTTGTTGTCCGGGGTGACCCGTCTATTGCGGATCATGAGTTTCTCTAAGCAACTCTAATCTCAGTCCACAAACACTAGAGACATATAATCTATCTCTTTTGCCGTGGAGTAGATCGTTTTCCACCAATAACGACGCATAGTGCCATCTTTCACTTGCTGAACCACGGCCTTTGATATTCAGAATCAATTGTAGCACTTGCTCGAATCCTTTCCAACAATTGAGTTTTAATGTTTGATATCGCAGCGACATAGTCCACAATTTTCTTCCAACTCAAAGCATCAGCAACCTGGTTGTGACGCCTAGATTTGTGTTGCCATTCGAAGTCATACTCTTCAAGGAATTCTTGCCATCTAGCCTGCCTTGGAGACAACTTCTTTTGTGTTTTGAAGAAAGTATTTGCCACATTGTCCATCAATACTACGAATTTGGTTCCCAACAGGTAAACTCTCAAAATTTGAAGACAATGCACAACCGCTGTCATTTCCTTTTTATGGGCAGAATACTTCTTCTCAACATCATTTAACTTCCGACTTTCAAACGTAACCGGGTGCCCCTCTTGCACCAAAACACCGCCAATAGCCTTATCAAAGGCGCTAGTATGCAATTCGAATGGAAGTTCAAAATCAGGTAATCGCAAAACCGGTTCACTTGCAACAGTCACTTTTAATTTGTCAAAGGTTGCTTCACAACTTTCATCCTACTTCCATGGTCTGTCTTTTTTGAGCAAATCTGTAAGAGGTGCTGCCTTCTTTGAGTATCCCTTAGTGAACTTTCTATAATAGTTGGCCAAACCCAAAAAGGAGCGCAACTCAGCCACTTTGCATGGCGCTTGCCAATCCATAATTGCTTGCACTTTTCTGTTGTCCATCTTCATGAGGCCTTTGCAAATTACATGCCCAAGAACTTAATTTCCCGTTGGGCAAACTCACATTTTTCTTTCTTGACATATAACTGGTGTTCTCGTAACCAAGTGAACACCACCCGAAGGTGGGTTAAGTGATCCTTTAAGGACTCACTATTTATTACAATTTCATCCAAATAAACAATAACAAACTGTAGACGTCCCCGAACGTCCAGGGAGGGAAATCCTGATTTGTTCATTTGGGTTTACTGCAGTTCGGACTCAAATTGTCACGGTTCTTAATCTGAACCAAAGAGTCCAAATCCGGCAAATCGTTTTGAAAAATAGATTTTTGTAAAAAAGTGCCAAACATGGACTGCTTTGCCAGATACAGAGTCGCCACCTAAATATTTTATTTTGGGAGAATTTAGGAAACCCTGACTCGTTTGCCTAAGGCCACGTGTCTGTCATTACCAGAGTTGCCTCGGCTCGGGAACTTAGGTACGATTGGGGAAGGTCAGCTATGAGCACCCTTTCTTGCCCGATCCGAAGATCGGCATCTACTAACCATGATATCTTGTTTTGAAAACATTATGCGTTCTTATTCCGGTTATTAGCCTAGATTTACTATGTGATGCGCACAGCATGACAAATATAGACTGAGTCGCCTGAATTGGGACAAAGTATCGCATATCCGTTTGTTTGGAAATCGGTTTGAAATTTTCTACTCGCAAGTAGGCTAAAACATGGATTTCGACGAGTTGTTCCAACTCAAACAATCCAACCTTCACCCACAGGCATTCAGGCAGATATATCACATAAGAATATAGCCTCATGGTAAGCATGCTAATATGGCAACATTCGCACTCATGCGAGATGCTAAAGCATAAATACTTACATCGTACTCCGTGCCAAAGCAATGAACTAGTTACTAATCATGCATGATCCTAGTTCAAGTTAACAAATGGCTAATGCATCGCATACCGAATGTCATTAGAACAGGCTCGGCTAATCTAAGGATGACATGTGAAATGCGACAACTCGACCCACGTATTCAAGTTTGGAATTGAAATACTATGTGGTTAGCATGATGCGCCGAGCCCGGTGCATGCAAGACTGATGAATGATGCACGCATGCGTAGCATAAGGTATGCTAAATTAAACATGCCCTAATACTAACCATCAAAGCAGGTAAGTAAAAGAAGGGAGAAAGAAGTGGGGGTTGGAAGACATGCATACACGCACCCACACTTATTACAAATTCGCCCTCGCTCGGAGGGATCAAAAGAATAATACACTTTAATTAACCTACAAGCTAATTAAATAATTTACAGACCACCTAATTAATTAACAAATCAATTATGTTAAGGAAAGCATTAAAAGGCCTCGGGAAGAAAGATGCACGCGTGCTCGGATTGGCTTCGCCCGGAAATCCATTGCCATGCACAAGCTACCTCTGTTTTCCTTGCTCTGCTCCTTTGAAAATGGCACAATTCCCAAGGTATATCTTATGAACACTGGGGAATGCCACAGGCCATGAGAAATGGTCACCGGCCAAATAGAAGTGGTCATCGACCATATATGGAGTTATCGGCCATCAATAATTGGTCGGTCGGCACTTGATGTAGTCGATCGGCCAAAGCTTCCTGCAGAACCTGTTTTGACAGCAGCAGAGGACAAAACAAGGCATGACGATGCGTTTTCAAGCAAATGTGTGCACCAATACACCCCTTATCATGTTTATGACTCAAAGGGGGATAGTACTCGATTCTTGGACCACCAATCGCGCATTTCAATGCATGATGGCCCAAGAAACCAAGATGTGCACTTTCATGTCAAATGAAATGCAAACCAAATAAGCACATAAAGACCCAACCTCTATCACTTGATTTCAAGAGGCAAGGCATGCATGTTCAATGCAATGCACCCTAGGCGTGGAAACTAAGTAGGCAACATGAACATGTGGCAAGCATGGAAAGCATATAACAAGTATGTAAGCTAATTGAGCATGCAAGATGCAATGCCAACATGAAAATATGCAAAACATGTGGCATGTTAAGCAATCAAAACAAAGATGAGAATGCATGCCAAATGCACTAAGTGGTCATCGACCATATATGGAGTTATCGGCCATCAATAATTGGTCGGTCGGCACTTGATGTAGTCGACCGGCCAAAGCTTCCTGCAGAACCTGTTTTGATAGCAGCAGAGGACAAAACAAGGCATGACGATGCATTTTCAAGCAAATGTGTGCACCAATACACCCCTTATCATGTTTATGACTCAAAGAGGGATAGTACTCGATTCTTTGACCACCAATCGCGCATTTCAATGCATGATGGCCCAAGAAACCAAGTTGTGCACTTTCATGTCAAATGAAATGCAAACCAAATAAGCACATAAAGGCCCAACCTCTATCACTTGATTTCAAGAGGCAAGGCATGCATGTTCAATGCAATGCACCCTAGGCGTGGAAACTAAGTAGGCAACATGAACATGTGGCAAGCATGGAAAGCATATAACAAGTATGCAAGCTAATTGAGCATGCAGGATGCAATGCCAACATGCAAATATGCAAAACATGTGGCATGTTAAGCAATCAAAACAAAGATGAGAATGCATGCCAAATGCACTATGATTCAAGCATGCAACACATGCGGTAGGCCAAGTATTCAACAACACACAAGGCGAGCATGCAACAACACGCGAACAATGGACTCATACCAATTTGGGTAGCTCTCAAATAAGCCCAAAACAGTGGCCAAATGCCAAAGAAATGAAGGCAAAAATGACATACAAACATGCATGCACACATGGTTCAACACTTAGGCGTTAAAGAGCGACTTTTAAGCACACTTAAAAGAGGACAATCATGGACTAATGGCATGCATACTAAGCTCTGAAATCATGTTATAAAAGGTGCCAAACCAAGCAAACAAGACAAGCTAAGCATTCAACGATGCCCAAAACTCAAGGTAAGCCAAGGGGCTTAAGCCATGGCCATGCCAACCAAGCCTCACAAGGCTAAGAGGACTTAGTATAGTCCCAAGGCAGACCTAAACAAAGCTAAGGACACACCTAGATAGCATCTAAGTGGCCTACACATGGAAGTATACAAAAGAGGCCAAACATGGAGCACAATACTACAATCTTTTAAAGCATTAAAGGAGCATCAAATGCAAGCATACAAGCATACCATGGGGACTGAAATGATGCTATAAGTGGTGCCAAACTACTGAAACGAGCCACGCAATGTATGCTCAACACTCATACACCCGAGGCTAGCAAGCCAAAATGCAAGGTGGCTATACAAAGCATGTCAAGCATGGCCAAAGCAATTAAAAACAGAGCTAAAGCATACTAAAACATGCATAAAAGCTTCACAAGGATTGGCCAAAATCATGCTAGAACAAGGCTCAAAGCACAAAGCATGTTAAGGCAAATTCATGGCATTACAAGACAAGTATGCTAAGCATGCATGGTGTGTCTAAACCAACTAAAAACAGTGCTATATCATAACAAAATAAGCACAAATAACACTTAAGACATGGCCAACATGAACTTAAAAATGGTGCTCACACATGAGGCTAAAATGGCACTTTTTGAAAGGAGAGGGGATGGCCCTCTCCTTCTTAGGACCTTAAAGCACCATCTCCACCACTGAAATCCCTCAAGATTTCAGTGGTGAGGAGGCCCAAACAAGATGGTCCCAGAGCTCACCGAAATAGCACAAAATGGGGACTAAACAAGGCCTAAGAGGGGTCAAACAACCCCAAAGCTCAAAGCAACCTTAAACAACTATTTTAAGCAAGTAAAAACAAGACTTTTATATGTTATACACTAAGCTCAAAAATAGATGTAAGGTAGGCAAAAAG